CGGGGTAGTGAGCGGGGCAGGCCGGGGGCGGTGGCTGTAAGAGAATCGTAACAACCTTCTGCTGTAAATTAATATTTCCCGAGAAAGAGTGCATTTGTTGAGTTGTGTGCGTTCTTTTCTGGTTTTGTTTGTTTTGTTAAGGTTTTTTTAAGCTCTGTGTTTGGATATTGACATCAGTTACCAGGGAAGTGCTATAGTCGGTTTAGCTGGAACCAGTCGCCTTTTCCGGGACTCTGGGGATGCAGATGGACTGAGGCGGCAGTCTCCGAGGTGATAGAGGTGGGAACCTTCAAGGGAACTCTAAACGTGAGGAGATGAATCTACGTGTTATCAAATCTGCTGCTCAAAGGGAAAGTCTGTCCCCTGGTGCCACTGAGCTCCCAGGACGGAAGGACTAAATTTCCTTCTGCCACTCGGGCACCATCTGGAAGTCTCTGGCAAAGAGGGAAAATAGCCTTCCCTGATTAATTTTTCAGACCATACCGAGATAAAACTGATGTTTGTCCTCCTTGTGTCGTGTCCTTCTGCTGTCCATCGGTCAGACCGCCAGGCTGCAGTAATAGCAGAAGATAAGCACTTTGCACACAAGTGGACGCGGCTGCCAGGCGGCACCGGCTCCCATGCCATGCGATTAACCAGAACCAAACCACTCCCCGAAACGACTTGCAAGGAAGGCAAATGTTTTTCTAAGAGCTGGGTAAATTAGGTGAGACCCTGGCCTGGGAGTTCACAAACTGGTCATATTCCTTCTCTAATAATACAATTTATAAAATAAAACAGGATTTCTTGCATCGTGTAGAAAATCTGCCAGAGCTTGTTTTCATATTCAAATCTAGAAAATCAAACTGTTCTACAAAAACAGATTAATGTATTTGAGAGTCTATGAGAAATAATCAAAACATTAAATTAAATCAGGGCTGATGTTTATTTTTTTAAGATTTCAATGATTATTACTTTAATAACTGTATTATTGAATTAATCAACTACTTATTCAGTGCAAAATTGTGTTTTTGAACATTATTATCCTGTAGAAATAAGCTCTGAATATGAGTGAGCTCTGACATAAGGGATAAGGTTCTACAAGGCAGCTGGTTGTGTTATGACAGCCATCTTCATCACACATGAAATGCAGTGATGCTATGGAAAACAGCTTTTCTATTAGAAAATGCAGTGACTAACCTGCAAGATGCCTTTTTAGTATAAATTATATTGAGCTGGTCAGTCAGCTTCAAAATAACTCTCAAGCTCAAATCAATACTTTTTGTTTTTGTGAGGATTTCTAAGGTTCAAGGTGTTTTGCGCCCCAAACTCCTTCTTGATTAGGTACCATGAAGCCAATCTTGGCAGGGCAAATGTAGGTTGTAAATATTAGCAGTAAGGTTGTATCTTTAGCACATGATTTTGCTATCACATGCCCAGTTTTCAACAAGAACAGAGCTGTTAGGCTTTCTTTTGGAGTCCTATTGCTGGAACTGGTAGTTGCAACCAGATTCTTTACTATTTTTCTTGTATGGGAAAAGACAGAAAAGATTTCATACACTGTTAAAGCTGCCAAGTAGGCTGCACTGAGTTCCACCAATGCCTCCTGCAGCAATTACCCAAACTCTCTCCCAGGGACCTGCAGGGAAAGCTATGTCACAACTCAGTCTGACTGCTCAAGCCTGCACATGCAGCTGAGAATTATTGTTATTAAGCATCCCAGCGTGCTGACCTACTCTTGGAAATATGACTGTCATCTAAATGAGAACCCATTTGGGACCAAAAAAAAAAAAAAAGCTTTCCTATAGCTCCTTGACTTGACTTTTCAGAGTTCTTTATACCTTAGTCACCTGAGCTGCTATAGTCTTAATAGCTGAAATTAGGTATTAGTTCAGTCATCTGCCTCTGCTGTTCAGTATTTCATGTCCCTGAGTTTAAGGGTAGTCAAAGGTCTACAGGACTTTCCAACCCAAACGTTGCAGCCTGATGTGCAGATCTGCTAGCACTCTCTGCTGTATCCATGGAAAGCTAGATGGTACCTGATTGTGTACCAGGAAACTAGGGGATGCACCTGGCTGGTAACAAGCCTTCCTTGGATGCTAGTCAGGCTCTAAAGGAAAAATTCAAGCATCAGATAATTTCTTATTATCTGATTATCTGTCTGCCTGCAGACAGCTTAGGCAGTGAGAACATGCTACTGTTTTCCTGCTCTTCTTCCTCTGGACACAACTGCCTTACAATACATGTTTAATTAAACTGCTGTGCAGTTTTCCTGCTATGAAAATCCTGCCTTCTCTGGTGGGTGGGATGCTGTGCTCTGAGCAGCCCTGCTTGTGCCTGAACTACCCAGAAGACACATGATGACTTGAGTTCAGTGTTGTAGCACAAGTACAGGTGCTTTTGTGCACTGGTTGCCCCTGGGCTCCTTGTATTGGCGAGTCAGAGCACCTGCTGCACATGCCTCAGCCTTCGCTGTGGTACTTGGTTGTGCTGCCAAGGCATCTCCTGGGCTCGCAGCACTGAAGACTGAATGATACAGACTACAGATCCAAGCACGTGCCTCCATGGGAAATGCCTCCTTCTGAAAATACGCTACTGTGCAGCTTTGAAAATGACACGGGCAAATGAACCAGCTACACCTCTGAGAACAGCCCTACAGAAGGTTTCTCAAGGTGTCTTCACCTGTGCCACAGAACAGAATCACACCTGTACCTCTCTGTCCTGCCCCAGTCCTGTTTCATATAAACTTCTGTATCAAACAAATTAGGGCTGAGCAAGGCAGCACATTGGCTACTGACAAGGCTTACCTTTAGCAGAGAGATAAAATGAAAAGAGTACAACATATTTCCTTCCTCTATTCTTATTAATGTCCTATGCTTAGAGACACCTTTTGAGAAGCTTGGTAATGCTCAAGTTTAATTTTTCTCCATTCTAAAATTATCATTCTCATTGATTTTTTATTTTTTTTATATTTTCCCTGGATAAAATAATCTTAACTTTTGCATGAGACCAACCAGTGAAAATGTTGAAGCTCATTGTCAAGTGCAAAAGTATTTGTGCATCAATACTTTTTCAGGTACCACTGTAATTTTCTGTGCTATATATAAGAACAAAAAACCTCCAATAAGAATTTTTTATCTGTCTGTTATTTTAAGTTTTATTATAATGCATAGAGTCTGCAAGCCTAAACCCACTGTGATAGGAGCTGTTCAAAGACACAGAGGAATACACTGCTTGTTTAAAAGACAAAATAGATAAAAACAAAAATTCAGACATAATATGGGCTATGCAAATTCCCATAACTTCTCACTCACAGTGCAAGAATTGGAGTATGGTCAAGGGACTGTTTGCTAAACCAAGTTTTTTCCTCATGGCAAGTATATGGAATAAAAATAGCAAGAAAAGAGCTAATTATTACATTTTCTCAGATTCACTGCATTGAGAGAGGCACAATAAGCTAACACAAGACCTGGCTTCTTTTTTAAAACTGTAATACAGGGAGGTGCAGAGGAGTAGCATATACAAAGTGCACAAAATTCTTTCAAGATTTTCATTTGCAAACCTATCCTGTGACACAAGATCAAGTCTATGACAAGATAAAATTTCATATCATGGATAGTCTGAGAAATGTAATTACATCACTGTGTAAAGCATGAGATGCAGGATATAATAATCCTGTACCAGTTACAAAAAAAATAATAACTATAGATTTGAATATGTGGTTTCAAGTAAGGCAATGCAATATAAACTAATATAATAACTATGATACAGCATCCTACAGCATCCAGAATAACATTTCAGAGCATGTTTTGAATGATAGACAAGGCTTTTGAAAATACTTCTCAGTTCTGTCCTTTGTACCATGCCACAACCTAGCACAAACTTCCATAACTAGATAGGATCGTGACTTGGCATTGATATGCACAACCAAGTGACAATCTCTGGAATAGTTAGTATGCTGAAATGTTTAACTTTCTTTTATTTTTTTCTTTTAATGTATGTGTCTGTAATTTATTCACATGCAAAAGTATACAAGCACCATGAAAATGGGAACATCATACAATTTCATATATATTTTTTTTTTACTTGCTTTTTTTCTCTGCAGAAATTAGACAGTAGATCTACAGAGCGCAGGAATTAAATATGAGCCTCTTATCTGCAGAAGAATTTTACCTTGAGTCCCATCAACACTGCTCATCCCGTTACAGCTGTGTAATAAGTCACCCTCCCACTGGCGAAACACAGACAAGGAACATTATGTTATTCAGTGATGACTTAGGAGGCTGACAGCACCTAATGTTGCAGAAAATGGTCCTTCTTCCAACCCACTCCTTCCCACCTGCAGGGCTACGGAGGCAGGAGAACAGCACACCAGAGCTGTGGGTAGGGTCATGCTCGCTGCACTGACAGCCTCTCCTGCCGACACCCTCCATTCCCAAAAGCAACGGGTAGCATTTGGCCAGTGACTAGACAAGTCTATTTTTAGTAACTTTTTTATGCCATATATTCTATTCCTGTCACTACAGAGTACTCATGCAAATCTATGTAGGGCTGCTGCTGTTACAAAGCTGCAATTTCCCGGGCTGCATTAATTTTACTACAGTAGATTATGACAGACGGAAATTATAATGGTGAAGAAGTCTTCATTTACACAAAGGGAGGCGTCTTCTGTTATTTGTAACTGGAATTGCAGTTCTTGTAAGGCTTATTCATGTTATCATCTTTTTCTGATTGCACATCTGTCATTTCTTTTACAGTATTGGTGCTATTTCCAGATAACCTTATTTTTAGAATAATGGAGGAATTTTCAGTCTCAATTAAGAAGCAGTTCACATTGGAAAATATAATCCTTATTGGCAGGAAAATTGTTTATGGGTTTTAAATTCCTTTACATTCCAGCTCCATCTCTATGTATTACCATAACCGTTAAGCACTTCCTTGGTTGTCTTGAAGACACCAACTGCTTTCAGAAATCTTTATTTAATATATTAATCTCCTCTCAATCACATTACATATACTCAAAGTTATTGCCTTTGTTATTTGTCAGAGGTTGCTACCCAATAAGTATTATATTATTATTAAATATCTATATCATATCTAAATATGTAGATCACTTTCTTCTGTAAAATCATTTCATTTGTTTACTAATGTTAGTCAAATGGTATTTGAATAAACTTCTAATTTTTTTTTACTTTTTTTCTATTTTTGAATGGATTAATATTACAGAAATAATTAGGCAGTTTTAAATTTGTTAGACAATTCTAAATGTTGGCATCATTTAAAATTTTAATTTGATCTCTGATTTTTAGTTCTGAGGGGCAGTTTGAGTGGAATGAGGAAAACATTGTCCTACACTTTTATTTGAGCTTTTTTTTTTCCAGTTTCCAGGGGAGTTACTTTTTAGCCAGAAACACCTCTGAGTCTTTGATCATGAAACCAAACAATATCAGGCTCAGTCCATACCTGGATAAGATACATTGAAGAAAAGCAGGTAAAGATCTGAAGTAACTTGTGGTGCTTCACTAGACAGCACCTTTTGCTTTGAGGAAGAACAGTGCTGCTGTACCCTCCTGGCACCTGGTGGACACTAAGTATAAAAAGGAATTCAAGTCAAGGTTACAGCAGCTTTTGATCACGAGCTATCCCATGACACATATCACAAGCATAGCAGTATCTTGGTCAAACTCCAGTTTGGATAATTAAGCGTCTGACTTGAATTCCCTTTGCAATTTCAGTCTCAATGAGCAGCCTTCTTCAATTTCAACTGGAACTCACTTCATGCAACATGTTCATTAAAGCATAGCTCCATTTCAGGAATGGATAAAGTGATAAACATACAGTTCATGATTTTGCCAGGACAATAAGAAAGAGTAACAAGGCCTGTCACTCTAGTTATTTTATGTGAACGCCAAGCTCTGTTTCAGATAAGTAGCTTCCTTGATGATAATGTTTAGTAGATTTATGACCGCACTGTAAATGGTACTGCAAGGACTGTTCCACACAGATATGGATGGTGTGGACTGAAGTGGCACAGTGCTCTTCTTTAAATGTATCTTCATTTGTTAACATAGTACATAGAGTGTTTGGAGGACAGACACAAAGATGGTGAGGGGCCAGGAGGGGAAGCTGTATGAGGAGCAGCTGAGGTCCCTTGGTCCCCTCCTTCTGATAAGGGGAGACTGAGGGGAGACCCCACTGCAGTCTGCAACTTCCTCATGAGGGGAAGAGGGAGGGGAAACACTGATCTCTTTGGTGACCAGTGACAGGACCCAAGGGAATAGCATCAAGGGGTGTCATGGAAGATTTAGGTTACATATTAGGAAAAAGTTCTTCATCCAGAGGGTGGTTGGTCACTGGAACAGGCTCCCCATAGAAGTGGTCATAGCACCAAACCTGATGGAGTTCAAGGAGCATTTGGAAAATGCTGTCAGGCACACGGTGTGACTCCTGGTGCTGTCATGTGCAGGTCCAGGAACTGGACTTCAATGATTCTTGTGGATCTCTTCTAACTCAGCATGTTCTGTGATTCTACGATTTAATTAAATGTGATCAAGAGCAGTCATACTGAACAGATGATCTCTGAATCACCAGCACTTCGGAAGTAAACATCTGAGATCAGACCAGGGGAGTGAAAATCCTGGTGATGGCCTGTCTCCAAGGTAAGCTTTTCTACTGGGAGCTGCCAAGAAAGATGTTGCTGCAGGAAGAATGTGTAGATGTCAGAAGTATGAATGAAATTCTTAAAGAGTGTTGGGTGCCTTGAGCTCATCTCCACTATGGCTTGGGGGTCTGCAAGGCTCCTGTGAGTTAGAAAAGCTCCATATAACCAGATGGGAAAGAAAAGAGTTTGAGGCAGAATGAGTTTACTCTAGATACCCAGAAATTAAACTGTTTGCGTGTTTGCATCTAAATATTGGCTGTACCCACAGAATCTCTTCAATGGATGTTTTTCATAAAGAAATAATTTAGTTTTACAGATATGGAGTCTTATTGTGTGCCTCTCAGCATGGAATGCAAGGGTGGCAACAGCTAGTCTAATCACAGCCACCAATAAAGAAGAATTTGTAATTAACCACAAAACATTGTAGCAATGAGAAACCAGACAAATTAGAGTCATATCAATAGTTATTGTGAACTTCATCAGAGGAATATTAAAACTTTTTTATATAAAACCCAATATCCTTCTGGGAAAGATTAAAACAGAGCCAGGATTTGCTTATCCTTATCAACTGATCAATCTTAAGACTGTCAGGAAAAGATGCAGGTCCCACTGACAGGGAGAAAGAATGCAAAATAGTGCAATTAAGGTTTTTCCTGAATAGGAAAAAAAAACAACTTTACCAGTCAAACAAACAAGTTTCAAGACCCATGGAATTGAAAAAGCTGTGATGAAATTAGTGTATTTCATGCCATTGCAGTATCTTTATAAGTAGGTCCCCCAAGAAAGAGCAAATAAATATGGAGGCTGCTCATTGTTAGCACATAATGCTTGAAATAGGATTCCTGTGATCTTTTATCTGGGGAAAAGAAATGAGACTTAGTTGCTGCACTGCAAATTCTATTTTGATGTACATCAGTTTTGAAAGCCAGCAACAATTTTGTTTTTTTCTGAACTTGCTATCAGG